ATTGTTGTACGTTTTTATCAATTAAACCTCGTCTTCTAGCGTGTACTAGTATTTATTTCTAGTTTTAAATACTCTCTACAGCTCTGGTAAATTATATTTTAATCAGTCTTCTGATTGTTGGCTTGAAGCGACACGTGCTCACGCCAACGATGTGCAGACGAGCTCGGCTTCCCTTCCAGCGCTGCTTTTCCTACCGCGACAGCCGTCCTGGCGCGTAAATCCCCAGAAGGTCCCGGTGACGGCGGGGCGTTTTCTTGCTAGGGTGGTTACGTGATTAAGAACGCTCTTTGAGATGATTGTAATTAATCATTTGAAATAGAAACTGCTGGCGGCAGCAGATCTGCTCTGCGGGGCAGGACCTGATGACTTTTTTTTTTTTTTTTTTTTTTTTTTTTTTGCAGAGCTGACATGGTTGGCACCGGGGGCTCGGTGCGGAGCGCGCTTCACCGCTGGCGTTTTCCAGCAGCGCGAGGAGTCGTTGCTCAGCAGCCAGGGGGAAAATACCCCGGTTTGGTCAAACAGGATTTGTGTTTCTTTGTAGCCAGGGGCGTGTTGAAGGTCAAAATCTGGGAGGCATCCGAGGGGCTGGCAGGGGCTTTGTGGCCGCTTGCCCCCGCCCCATAGTGGTGGCTCCCCCCGGGGGTGCTGCCCACCGGTGAGGCTCTACCTAGGGATGTTGCTAACCCTGTAAATTCACTTTTCCCGGATTTGTATTTGAAAGCCAGAGCTCTGGAGAAGGTGAGGCGAGGCCCCAGGCGCGTCCTGCCTGGGTTTTACCTCGGCACGAAGCGGGGACGCGGGCAGGCAGCGCGCGCCGCGCTAACGGAGACCGCGACCGCTGGTGATGGTTCGCAAACGCATGAGCACTGATGTACGGGATTTTGTTACTGCCTTGCATTTGCCTAGGGGGGGAAAAAAGTGTTTCTAAGTAAATATTACTTTTAAAAGGTTTGCCTTTATTTTTCCATTAAAAATAAAAAACTGTAAATGTAAATTATTCTAACGTTTTGTTTGTTTTTTTTTTTTTTTTAAATGTTTTAATTGGCTCTTGCAGAAGAAATGCACCCGAGCAGGCGACTGCTTTCAAACCAGGCCTGGCAAGGCAGGGGTTCGTTGGTAGGGAAATGCGTTCAGGCTTTTTTTGCAGGTTTTTAGTTGTCTGGTTGGGGTTTTGGGGTTGTTTCTGTTTTTCCTTCCTCGTTCCTGTGTCACAGTTTCTGTGGCAGCCCAGCACTGCTGTGGCAGAACTGGGGTGCCTGCGTAGCCCAGCTGTGCTCTTACACAGCAAAGCTCAAGCTCTGTGTTTCTGCCTTGAAATAGAAAGGATTTTTAGCAACATTGGGCACTTTTTAAGCATTAATGGCATTGCTCTCAGTGTTTAAATTCGACTGTGGTTGCCTTGGGCTGTTGTGCACGGCCTTTCTGCGCTCACGGTCCCCTCTGTGGCGCATTGGGTCCGATTCCCCCCCCGGGGCCAGCGGCGCCCGCTCCCTTGCATTTATTTTGTTAAACCTTTCTAAAAATGAATTTTGGCTGAAGTACAAACTTGGCTTTTTTTAGGACTAAAATAGTTATAGCGTTGAGGGTTTTTTTAATGTATTTACGGCAGATTACGCCACGCCACTCATTCACGCGTTGCTGCACCGCAGGGCCGTAGTCCTGTGCCCGCTGTCTTGCAGCACCTGCCCCCTGCAGGCCCAGTAAGCCCCAGTTTGTCCCCGTGGCCTCCTGGCAGGGGTGGGGAAGGGGCACAGTGGGCGCCCAGCGCCAGGGCGGCCCCGGCCCCTGGGGCTGGAAGGGCCCCAGAGGGTCCCATCCTCCCACTCCCCATCTCCAACAGTCCCAAAGAATTGCGCTTCGGAGGGGAAAACAAAGCAACCCGACCCAAACCACCAGGGTGCAGTTACATCACGGCGTGCTCAGATGTATAAAAGCAAGCAGCGCGTAGTTTATAAAAAAAAAAAAAACACCCAACCAAGCCCAAAACCAAACCAGGGCCCAGGCTTTCCCTCTGCCCCTGCTCCAGGTGGGCACCTGGCCCCACCATTCTGGGGGGGGAAAAATGTAAAAGACTAAAATAACCCCCCAAAACAAACCCCCCACGATGCCCGTGTAGTAGTGTAAATAGTTTATTTGCTCTTATGCCAGGAACAGACCAGGAAAGTAACATGAACTGCTTTATAAAACACTTCTAATATTGCTAAGCAGCAGGTCTATTACTAGAAAAATATTAAAGAGAACATGCCAGCATTCTAGGCTACGTGCATGGTAATTTTTGTCTTCAATTAATTAAAAAAAAAAAAACACCGAACAACCAAACCTTTGAGCTTAAGCATGTGAGAGCTACTGCGTTTAACCAGTTTGCCTAACGATTTATTAAATTAATTGCCAAATTTTCTTGCGCAGATTAAAATGCCCTTCTGCGGCGGTCGGTGAAGGCGGCGCTTTGGCATGTTCTCTTTAGCGTGGCTGGGAATGCAAGAAGGTGGTGGCAGTTTTTAAAGTAAATGTCCTGTAAATAGGTAAGCAGAGGTCAATGTGGTAACTTGGAGCCCCAAACTGTCCATTTAGTTAAATATAAAAACAAAAACTATAAGTTAAAAATAACATTCAGATTGTATAGCACAGGCTGATGCTTTTTTTTTTTTTTTTAAACAATATTTACAATATTACCCAGAGGCTAAAGTGGGAATAAGAGAGAAGTGTAAAAACCATAAAAAACTGCACCAATTTTGTAGCAAAATATCTGTACATTTAAAAACAGATTATCATATAACTACACATGATCCAAGGGAGAAAAAAAAAAAAAAGGGACCTTCACCAGTGGTTCACATAAGCACAACATAAAAGAAAAAAAGAAATTCAGTGGTTAAATACTATACAATAAATTTTACAATTAACATATTGATGCGGTGAGCCCAGGAAAGGTAAGCTGTAAGCAAAAATGTATCATCTTGGAAAGTACAAATTTCTCTTCAGTCCAGTTCTGAGAAGATCGCGTGGCCCTGCCGGCACGGGTTGGGCTTCATCTTGCTGCTCTGGGACACGGCTGCGAACCGGCGGCGGGGAGGGGGGTGATGGTGCTAAAGCCTGCCTGGGCTCCCTCCCCACGCTTCCCAAATGCACCACCGTCTGACCTGCAACCCGCCGGGAGCGGTAGGCTGGGCTGCCCCTCGCTGACCAAACGCTCCTTAGCAGGGAATCTTGACCTGGATTGTCCAAGGAACTTGGCGTTGGCGCGGGGCGTCAACCCTACGGAGCAGGGCGCAGGCTGATTCTCTGCGCGAGCAACTGAACTGCAACCGTCCTCCCAATCCTAATACTGATTACTGAGATGTTAATACCTTAGTGCTAATTAATAAATACGCTGTTACTCAAAAAGCTGCCTCTCGCTGAGGAACACAGACGTGCGGCTTAGCCACCCTTCTCGGTTTGTGCGTTGGCAACGCATTTGGCCCCCAGCCCCCTGCGGCCCGGTGTTGCGGGCTCCAAACATCACAACCTCGAGGTGAAGACTCGCCTTCGTCTTCGTTTGCTACGCACCCCGTGATCTCGGCCGCGCGCGGCGCCACATCCTAGCTACGGCGGCGGGGAGCCTGCGTGCGCGGTGGGAAAAGGTAGGGGGCTCTTGGAATTATTTCCATATTACATATAGAAAGCCCTTAAATGTCTTCCTTTTTTTTAAAAAAAAAAAAAACAAAAAAACAAAACACCAAAAAAACCCACAAACCCAACCCAAAAGCCAGTAAGTGCAGCTGAAGCCGAGGTTAACCCCCGGCGGCCAGCACGGGAATGCGTTTAAAAGCCGAGCCCATCCGGGGGTGTGAGCTGTTCACAGCCGGGCGGGTCCACAGGCGCCCAGTCACTAAACTTTTCTATAATCAAACCAAACTAAACACCCAAAAAACAACACGTATTTTACATTTTGGTTAAAAATACTGAATAATGTATTGGTGTAAAAAGATACCCAATCAAATCACAAGTCCTATTGCTTTGATTAATTTGAGCAGGTACTTCAATTTTAGGCACTTGTTAGCTACGGCTGAGTGGCGAGCCCAGCGCTGACGTTCCTATGCGTTTTCTAGGTCTCTGAGCCCTTTAGGTCGATTTTGCTGTTCCCAAGGCTGCGGCTGAGTGGCAGAACGTAAGAGTTCACGCGGACAAGGTATCATTCATTCAAGCACCCCCTTTCCTCGACACCTGCAGGTCTCCAGCTCACATGGTTATTTCAGCACCGTTGGCAGAGCGCAAGTTCTGATCGTCAAAGCGCCGCCGGACGCTTCTCCTCACCGCGTCGGCCCGTCGGTACGGCTGGTTTCGAAGATCTGCGGAGAGGAAAGCGGGGTTCGTAAGCACGCACGGCTCGCCCCCGTGCACACGCACGCACCCACACGCACGCACCCCCGCGCCCATGCGCACACACGCGGTCTAGACAAGGAAAAGTCCTGCTGGAAGCCAATCAAAGCAGCTTGTGTAGGAACAGGAGGAGGGACGTCAACCCACCGAGAGCAGAGGTGAGCAAATACTGACGCCACGCGCCCAAGCAGCGGGTAATACTGGTGAACTGCGCTGAGGTGCTGGTGGGACGGAACGCAGTGACGCCGTCAGGGCGGCGTGGCCGGCTCCCCGCCCCCGGGCCGCTAGCGTTCGCTCAGGTCGGTTAAGGGAGGCGACACCGAGGGACGTTGGGCTGCTGTGAACGCGAGCCCCGGTCCTTCACGCAGCCTCACGAACCCTGGCGTGAGCTGCAGGGGTTTGGTAAAGCGGGGGGGAGCTCCCCGGAGACGTGCGACCCGGGGTACAACGGTGCACGTGTTCGGCAACGCAAGGGTGGGGCTGGGCTCCCTGCATGCCCCTTCATTTAAAAGAGGGCGCCCTGAGAAAAAGCAGCTGGTGGGCTGCAAGCCGCTTAAGGCTGGGGGGGCGGCCAACCCCCGCCCTCCTCCTCCTCGCCAGCAGCAAAGCCTGGCCCTGACCCACCCTGCTGCTGCCGCTGGGGAGGCGAGAGCTCGGGGAGGGGGGGAGAGGAGGGAATCTGGAGCATGCAATGGATGGGACAGTGGGGAAAGCTGGGGATGGAGGTGGTGATGAAAGCCTGCGTTACGGGTGCTGTTACGTGCGTTACGGGTGCTGTTACGTGTGTGGCTACGACATAACGAGCACACGTTCGAGTTGAAAGTATTTCTCTCCTGGGAAATAAATTTGCAACCCCTCCCCTCAAATTTCCTGGATGACTTACGACTTGGTTTAAATACCACCCCCAAGCTCCTCAGCTCCTCTTGCTGTACCCCAGAGGAAGGTGCCTTCACTCGAGGCTGCCCTCTCCCACCTCCATGCTCTGAGCTGCTGGTTCTCCATCTCCCGTGTCCCGTTTGGTGGCCGTAGCAGGACCGAGAACATCCAGGGAACTATGGGGTTGAAACAACCCGGGGACAAGGCTGACTATCCTGGGCTAAACGTGGAAGAGAAAGGGCCAAAGCGGAGAGAGTAGGAAGACGGCCACCAGCCGTGGACCCCCTGCACCACAGAGAGCGACAATAAATGGTCCCGGTCTCCACGGGCCTTGAGGCTCTCACCAGTATTACTCTCAGCCACATCTACCAACCAGGCTGTCTGGCATACAGAGAGAGGAGGAAGCTAAGTAAAAAGTGATGCTTGCCAGCTCTGTGTATCCTCCACCACCGGTGTGCTAGAAGAAATCCTTACCCTCGAGTGAACATTTGGAAATTTAGTGATATTATTCTTCTTTAGGGCTAAACAGAAAAAAAAAAAAAACAGAACAAAACAAAACACAAAATGATGGTTAAAGTAAAAAATGGGATGGAAAATGGAAGAGCAAGTCAACTCAGCGTTCAAAACTCCCAGGCACGTTAGCCAACAGAGCAAGAGGGGGTAAGGCCAAGGCTTCGCGCGGAGGTTAGACACGGCAAGGACAGGAGGGCCACCCTCGCCTCTCGCTAACCGAATTCCAAGCTGCTTTGAAGATTGGCTCCAGGAAGGTAATACAGCAATTAACTCGAAAGAGCAAATAACCGTTGAGCTGATTACAGTTTGCAATTTTATTAATTAGAAGCATTCATAAAAATACATATCGCAAAGGTGAAACACTGTTGTCTTCTTAAGCCGCTGAGTCCTTAATGCAAGACAACAGTGTTAACAGACATGCTGGGTTAAACACACCCGTCGCACACCTTACACCACACCATGTACATCGCTCAGTTCCATGGCAAGCTTTTCATCATCGCAATTTCTGCCGTTCCGGCAAATCACGGAGCGTCTCCCCCGCTCCGCTCCATCCCCCCGGTTCGTGCGCCCCTGCCGCTACCGGGCCCCACCCCAGCACTGCACAAAGTCCCAGTGAACTGGAACGGCCGAGTGCTCAGGCAACGGCTCTCGTTTGTATTTAGGTAACGTTGGCATGGAACTGAAAAAAGTTAAATATGGATGTGACCGAAGGAGGAAAGATTTTATGCCGTTCGTTTTATCCCGTATCTCACATGCAGACAAACATGCAGGTGCTGGTTAAAAAGTCTACACCAGAACACTCCTCGCAGAGGACGTACGTTATTGCAGACCACCCTTCCAAGCCAGAAAGCAAACCCCAAGGAAGTCCCACTGAGTTCATGCAGCCCGTAACCTTGCTTTGGCACACAGCTGATGTATTACATGCATTTTACACAGGGAGACTGGCACACGGAGAAGGAGCCGTAGGCCAGAGGAGATGACATAGAAAAGCCAAGTGAGCTGTCACTTTTCGACTGCGTTTGATCTCCTAAATCTCGTGAACTGTAGGAAACCTGCACCAAATCTACCGTGACTTCCACCACTTGCTGTTCTATGGCATTTGTCAGGAAGGTGAGAGATGCCTTTGAAACGCAAGGATGGCCAAAAGCATCGAGCGCAAAGTCGATGGGATGGAATAAAAAGTTACTGAAACACAAGAACATGCAACAGAGGTGACATAAATACAACTTCAGGTGGACGCTGGACATTACTATACACTCAACATTCACATGATCCTGGCCCAGAGCCGTACGAGTGGAGAAGTGTCAAAAAATCTACAGCAACCTTTCTTTTTTCTAAGAGCATCAGATGTGAAAGAGGAATAGTTTAGTAATGGAATTCCTCAGTGAGAACAGGTTCGCAGAAAAACCGAGAGCCCCGCTTGGCGGTTCGAGCGGTAAAGGGCACGGTCTTCAGCACTGCATGGGAATAACAGCCAAACAGACAAACAGAGCCGTGAGAAGCGGATCTATCGCATTAGTACAGTGTTAGTGCTCGCTTACGGACTCCCAGGGACGGGCTCACGCGTTCCAACCAGCCGCCTAATGGCACTGCGCTTTGGCCGTTCTAAGTCTCTGAATAAGGATTTCTTACATTACATCGTTTTCAATGGTTTTGAGAGACTGGGGCTCGACACGCCCCACGGAAGGGTGTGCTGTAGGACAGTGCCCTGGCCCGGATCAGCAGAGCTTTTCTGTGCATCTGATGAGGCACTGTCCAATTTAAAGCAACACTTTCCATCCTTTCCATACCATTGACACGGGCCGTATTCAAGTGTCCTCGGTCCTCCCTGACTTTCTGTGCCTAACCTTCAGGATTACACAGCTTGAGGCCCTCAGCGACAGCCCGATAATGGGAAATACTCGGCACAAGACCAGAGCAGATGTTTAATTTGAGGCTGGCGCGCCCTCCACCAGACTGCCTTTTGCATGCGGACGGTCTTCTGCCGCACAGAGAGCAGGAGAACCACTTTACCAATTACACAAGCTTCCAGGAGTCTGAAGGAGTTGTAGAAGTGGTAACAAATCAGATATTATAGCGACTCTGCCCTTTAAATAAAGAATATTATCTTAGGAAGCTATTCATCAATGTTCAAACGAGTTGTGAAAGCTTCAAGCATTTCAGCCCTGTCATCTAGTTGGGCAAAAAACTCCCTGGCTTTCCTTAGCGAGTGGTAAAACAGCTCTCCTCCCCTGCTGCAGGAAAAACTCCTGTGAAAAACACTGAGGAGCAGTAGCCAAGGAAATCCTGCCCAAAGACCTTCTTTTGAGCTTCTGTGCAATGGAAACAAAGGACTGTAAAGCCATCGAAGTGTTAAAATTGCATTCCTTACGCAGCACAGGCGAAGGATGTGCAGTAGAATCAAGGTACTGCAATCAGAGCAACTGTAGAGATTAAAAATTATTTGACTCCTGAGCAAAACGCCGTTTAGAAGGCAGCTCTTTTTATCAGCAAATATTTGCACCCAAGACCTGGCTGCCTCTGGCTACAACAGCGGGTTCTGCCCCTCTCCCTCCAGCCCGAGGCTGGGATCAGTGCCGGCTTTGCAGTAAAACCAGAAGCAGTTTAGGGTCATAAATCATTCAGGTTTGACTAAATGATTTGCTCTAACTGTGCAATAATGTGGGACAATTACTGTTAGTACATTTTAATGAAAACGTAGGCTCTTAATAATGTTAAACATCGGTCATTCGTTCCATTTATGGGGAAAAGAGGTTTCTGGGAAAGATCTGCACAGCATGCATATCCCCACCAGAGCATCTCCTGAGACGAGGCCCTGAGCTGGCTACTCTAAGGGTCAGAGACCGAGCACGACCCCACATGCTGAAAGAGAAGAGCTAAGAAACAGAGCGTGTGTCCCGGGTCTGGGCACGCGGCATGGGCAGCGGGCACGTACAGGCCGGTTACTGGGGTTGGTTTGTTACACACCATTAGCAAAAGTTTCTGTACTTGATCCACATCACATAAACCACGTCCTAAACCGTGCTCGAGTAAGACTTTGTTTTTAAGAAGTACACGAAGCACTGACAACAGCTACTAGGCAGATAAACATTTTTATCCTTTACGAAAGGGCCTCTGAGATTAAGGAACAAAAGGGGTTTACCTGTTATAATATCTTCAATAGCACCATCCTTCCCTTCGTACACATGCCTGTTATCCTTGACTTGCCGCCGTCTGAGCTCTGCAATCAGCTCTTGCTGCTGTCTCTTTGTTTTATGCGAAGGGGACTGAAAGCAAAGAAGAGAGGACTCGTACGGACTGACCTCCAGCCACCCCGCTTCCCTCTTCCTGAACGTGAACACCAGGTGATCCCACCGGCAGCGAGCAGCAAGCAGTCACTGCCAGTTTTCTGCCCCATTTTGCAAGACCGGGAAAACAGACGCGTGTGGTTATAGCTCATGTCCCACGGAGAGGACGGGCAGAGGCTCAAGTTAACCTGGCTGTCAAGCTACTTTTCTTTCTTACGTTTGTAATCCACTTCCAAGCCTTCTCACCTCTTGGAACTGGAGGTCCACGCTCTTACCTCCAAAAAGCATTAGGGGAACAAGGAGAACAGGCTTTCCCTCCAAGGGAAAACGCTTGGCTGGGATTACAGATCCCCCCAACAGCTGTGGGAAGCAGCACCAGCCGACCAAGTGGCTGGTTTAGAGCCACGGGGAAACTTTCTCCAGCAAATCTGGAGTGTTACCTCGACAAAAAAACCACATCAGGGCAATTCCTATAAAACTGTAACGTGGGGCTCAGCCCTGCTGCCATGCCCTGGCAGGGCAGGATCTGGGGACGATCGTTCCTTGTCCCTGTGGGCAACGGGAGGCTCTGCACACTGCAGTGAGGTTTTAAGAGATACAGGGCCAGAGCAGAATAAAGTTTAGCTAATGGCAGTGTGGACGAGATGAATTTCTGGCTCTTCCCTTTTTCTTGATTTTGCAGACTTCAAAGAAGCAGAACTTTTAAAAGAAGCAGAACTTTTAAAAGCTAAAAGAACACTTGTATTCTTGTAGCTTATTTTGGTTCTCTCACCACAAGGAGAAAACTTCCAGCGACTCCATTTAGAGGCAACTGTAAGTTGGACAACCGAAGGTCTTATACAGAGCTGAGGTTCCTGAACTACCAGGAAAAACACACGAACATGATGGCTCCTGCCTGCAAGACACATCTGTTTCATACCTTTTGGTCCTGTTGCTCCATCAATGCCTCCTGCTCCATGAGTTTTTCCATTAAGGCCTGTTCCTGCTTTTTTCTCAACTCATTCTCTTCTTCTGCTTGCTGTTTATCACAAAAAAAAAAAAGCACAAGTTAGAGCTTCCAATTGCTATAGGGAGCCTCAATATTACCCACGAGTAACACTATCACTTGCTAGCACAGGGCTTTCCCAGGAAGCAAGCTTAGCTGTAGCAATTTAGCTGCCTCTGAACACAGTCTGAAAAAACCCCAGGCTGGAAGAAACCTTCCTAAGTCGCACAAACCATCTTCTCCCAGTTCCAAGAGACATGTACTCAGGGTTAAAGGTGTCAACCGCAGCCGCCCAGACATTCTATTTTTGAGGATTCCTCCAGCCGTGTTGTCTTTAAGCCCTGCAAATAATCCCAGAAGAACTGTTTGTGCCGCCCCAGCCGGGGATGGCTCACATCGCGTGGAAGCTAGAGGGAGCCACAGGCTGTTTTGTTGGGCACCCGGAGCCACATGGGTACCAAACCGGGTTCAGAAGGACAGAAGAGAAGAAGAAGGTGCTCCCGTTTACCTTGTAGGCCTTCACAAACCGGACAAACACTGGGAAAAAGACTGAGGGGGGTGTCGTCTTGGGATTCTCCCCAAAGTACTTTACAGCATCATCGAAGGCATCCTACAAAAAGCACAGATTTACCGTGTTGCACATAGGTCCAGATAAGCTCACCATGCGTTGCTGCAGGATTCAGTGTGAAGGGTCTAGATTTCCTCTGCACGTGAAACCCCTGGCTCAGACCAGCAAATCTACATCAAGCACTTGAGCCCAGGAACAAATCCACAACACGGCTGCACCTTCTCCTCCCTGCCGCGTACATCAACGCACACCCGTTGCGCCGACGTGCTGCAATTCACTGTGGCACTCGCACCCCCTCACCACGCCCCGAGAATAAAGAAGTACCTGGGCTATTTTGGCATCGTCCTGCAGCTTCTTTAGCTTCCCTTCGTTGTTCTGAATGAACTCCTTCAGCATCGTGTTGTGGTCATGCATGGTGTACTCGCGCTTCGTCAGATCCAGGCCCCTCTGCAGCTCCTTCACGTCCAAGAGGACATTTTCAAGAGACACTAGGAAATAAAAACAGAAACGCTGCATCGCTCCTGCTCCACCAGCACGCGAACCCACAGCTTGAACAATTCCCCACCAAGAAGTGTCCCCGCAGCCCAGGGTGGCGTGCCATGAAGTCCCTGGGAGGGCACATGTGCCACCACCGCTGGCCAGGCGCAGGAGGGGGACAGTACCTGCAGCAGCCTTCTCTACATAATGAAGTTCGTTGTAGAAGAGGGACACGTGCTGGTACTTCTCCTTGACCACATTTGAAATGTAGTGCAGCAGGGTCTGCTTTCGGTCTGTTGACTTTGTTTCTAGGAGCTGGGGAGAGAAGGCAAAGAGATTGCTGGGTGGGGGTGCAGCGGGCTCCAAGCAAAGTGACTCAACCGGCGCTTGCCCTTCCCTGGTGTTTCTCCATCTTAGAGGGACGGCTGTGAAGGCTCACTGAAGTGTTTAGCAGGCGGTTTTCAAGCTGGGGTCTGCAGAGCCTCTGAAGACACGTGCCTTCTCCTAAGTGGCCCCCCAAAACAACAATAAGCAAAGCAAACCCACATTGCCTGAAAGCAGCTGCCACATCCCCCAGCAGCCACTCATGGACATGAAATGTGTTCCCACCTGGTCCCCACTAGGCACCTCTGGTTTACTCACCAGGTCTAAACTCTGTAGCTTAAATCCGTACACAGCTCCTCGTTTACTGCTGTTCATGTAGTTTCCGAGAGCCAAGATTATCTGCCCGGATGAAACAGAGCAGAGCATGAATTTTCAGGACAAATGCACGGCTCCTTAGGAAGCTCTGGAAGCAGAGCTGCTATGTCAGCATCCAGGTACAGTTCCAGTATACGTACGGGGACGCACCGGTGAGTGCTGGAGCTACTGAACGGATCTAAAATCAGACCTACCTCCAGTATTTTCTTAAGCTTTTGGGATGACTTTATTGAGACAGATGCAGCTATTATCGCGTGAAGTTGCTGCAGATAAAGACAGGAAGAACTTTGGTTAATGCATGCCCAACCCAAGAGTAAAATTAAAGTCTAAACACTCACATTCTGAAAAATACCTCTTGTGTTTCATCCACACCGTGGGCCCTAGCATGACTGTTATCCTGCCCCGACGCACCAGGATTTCAGACAATTCATTTGCACCGCAGATTTACCACACTCAGACATGGCTGGCTGGAAGTGTGTTTACATTTCAATCCTTATAGCCATGAAAGATGCACCAGGCTGAATGGGACACACTTCAAAGCGCCCACAGACCAGCACCGATAATAACTTTCCCTGCTGATACAAACAACTGGATTTTAATTTAAACCAGTTTTAAACTGGGTAAAGAAATAGGACAGCATGGAGCAATCCAGGGTACAAACAGCACCTGGGATATCAGAGTCGTCGATATATGAAAATACAGCTTGAAAACTACTTTTTCATTTGTGTAATTGTGTCTTGCCCTGTCTCTGTGCGAGCTGATGAGCCCCCCACGACACTCAAACCATCTCTCTGTCTTAGAAAAATTAAAATCTCTCCAACCTTCACCGACTGGCCCACCCCTTCGCATGCCTGCAATGCTCCCCGCGAGCTGAGCCGCGCCGCAGAGCGCAGCTCCCAAGCTGAACCCCCAGGGAATCCCCGATCCCCGCACAGCCAGCGCATCCCCCGACTGTCCCCAGGGGTTGTCCCTCACCCACCGGGGTCAGCATCTGGATGCTTTCTGCGAAGTTGCCTATAAACGCCATGATGGTCATCTTCTGCATCAGCCTCTCAATCTTGCTGAACTGCATCATGAACCGGTCTTCGTCGGACAGGTTCTCGATGGGTTTCCTTTCCCGCTCGTAGAGCCGCAGCACTTTCACTTCGTTCTCGGTGGGCAGGAACCGCATGAGGCACTCAACAAAATCCACCGGCAATGTTTTCAGGTCAAACCTGCGTGACAAGAAAGCAGGAGTGGTGTTACGACAAGGCTCTACACAAAATGATGGAAAAGAAAAATCAGTGAGAAAGCTGCCCAAGGCAGCTCTGCCTCCTATGCTGCTCAAGCTACACGCGAGCCTGAGCCAGTACAGCAGTGAGGAATTATAAAGGAGCTGTGAAGCTCCCCTGCTCATGTTGCCCTGGATGGGGTGGGGGGCATGATCCTGTGTGTGAAGCTCTCCACGCATGGTCTGAAGTTCTGCCAGGGCAGGTTTAGGTTGGACATTAGGAAAAACGTCATCACCGAAAGGGCTGTCAGGCTCTGGAAGGGGCTGCCCAGGGAGGTGGTCGAGTCCCCATCCCTGGAGGGATTTAAAAGAAGGATAGATGAGGTGCTGAGGGACAGGGTTTAGTGGTGGGATGGCAAGGTTAAGTTAACAGTTGGACTTGATGACCTTAAAGGTCTTTTCCAACCTACACAATTCTATGATTCTTATAAGAAAGATGGGGACAAACTTTTCAGCAGGGCCTGTTGCGAGAGGACAAGGGGTAATGGTTTTAAATTAAAGAGAGCAGATTTACACTAGATATAAGGAAGACATTTTTTATAATGAGGGTGGTGAAACGCCCAGAGAGGTGGTATATGCCCCATCCCTGGAAGTGTTCAAGGTCAGGTTGGATGGGGCTTTGCTCAACCTGCTCTAGTTGAAAGATGTCCCTGCCCAAGGCAGGGGGGTTGGACTAGACGACCTTTGAAGGTCCCTTCCAACCCAAACCATTCTATGATTCTATGATTATAAGATTCTAAGATTCTAAGATGTGAACATGGTTACTGTGCTGATGTGAATGGTGCTGCTGGGCACCTTGTTTCTGTTTTCAAAGACGTGGTCGTTCCCCACCCCTCCGTGGCCACATCTCATTTTTATCAGAGACGATATGTGGGGAGGAGCAAATAGTTTTATTTAATCGGGCCAGAGCCCTGTGAACCCCAGCTGCTAAACCTGCCTCTATCTGCAGGCTTGGCCACCCTCCCTACCAGCCCAAAGGTAATGCCTGTGCATCCAAATTTTGGAGATACTCCTTAACAGCGAAATGGCAGATGTTTGTCATAGCCATGAGCACCAAGTGCTTCTGGATGGATTCAGGATCGGCTCCGAGGAGCAGGTGCCCCCACGCTCCCTCCCCAGGAGCTGCTGGAGTGGGCAGGCGAGGGTCCGTATGAGCACTCCTGCGGCAGGGGTCTGCTGCGTACCTCGGGCCCCTACATAAACCTAAATCTATGCAAAACCCTTCCAGTGCACTTGGACTGAACTCATGTTTTACGGAGCACACTATGAGAGTTGCCCCTTCCCGATACTCCGACTTCCGAGTGTCCATCCCAACAGAAAGTACCGTGCAAACGGAGTGAGAGATGCGCCGTGCCACGGCGTGCTGTGGATATACGTGAATTAGCTTCGTTAATAAAAGAGGCGTTAATTTGTTAAGCCTAAACAGCGACACAGAACTGCAAGGTTTTTATTTTAGTTCAAGGGAATCTGATTTCTGGGAATTCAGAACGGTTCCATCCTTACTCATGGATTTTTTCCAGATGCAAAAACATTTACATCAACTGCCAATTCAGAACCATTCCACTTACCAAACCCCACCGTAAATCTTAAACACGATTTCTTTGCTGACAAATGTTTTACTTACACGTGAATAGCTTTGCATATTTCATCTGCTGTCTTTCCAGCTTTTCTTAAAGTAATGGCCAGGTTCTTGGCCCTGTTGGCATCCAGTAACGTCACTTTGTTTGACCCTTTCTGAGTTATCTTTTGCTTGCTTGAAGTAAGATCAATGGCTGGTCCTTGGGCTTTTGTTTTGAATATTTCTTCAAATTCATCCACATTTAAATCCTACAAAGGGAAGAAAATGATTTATCCCTCCTGCAGCAAACACCCAAACCCGTGCTGCCTGACACTGTGCCAGAACTGCAGTCCAACGCCCGCGACGCTGAGACCTCAGCAGAGTGCTTCGCCCTGGGGCTGCAGGACGCAACGAGCTGAGTTAGGGAGCGCGAAACCTGGCCTCCACCCCCAACAGCCCCCCAGACGTTCGACAGTTCAGGAAAATATCCACGTTAGCACTCAGGCTCTCTCCAGCCGCGTGCCTCTTCAGGGCGCGGGGAGGACGTGGGACCTGCGTACTCGGCTCCGCGCCGCGCCGCTCGAGGCTTCGTTCCCTGGCACGCAGCCGCCCACCCAAGCCGAACTCCTGCAGACCCCACCAGCAATTTTAGGCTGGGAAAAATGAATCTTCCTCATCTCGGTTGATCTGCTTTAAACAACTGCACGCAACAGGTATGGCACCCTTTATAATGGATAGTACCAGCTACCATCCCTAATTCTCAACCAAGGCACTCACGCTGACCTACTGGGTACCCGGGGCCACTGGATGAGCTGTTTGCCAAAATAATTGCTGCGATAAGTCCCTGCAAAGACTGATATCCACTTGTGTTATGCACAGCAGCAGGAGGCAGAAGGCAGCAAGCAACCCTCATACCTCCAGGATCCTTTCGTCATCTATTTCGTTGAAGACTGTCCCATTGATCTGGTTGGGTTTGAGGGCGACCCAGTTGAACACCGGCATGCGGAACTTGGTCTTGATCGGCTTCTTGATTTTCACAGCTACAAGACAGCGGAAGAGAAGAAGTGACAAATTCCCCAGCTGCTGAAAAATACCCCGCGTGCCCAGACCGCAGCTTTCGAGTTGGCATTTCAGCACTGGAGGGAGAACTGGCCAGAGCTAAATTATCCCACTGGAAAACCTGGAAAGACCTTGCTTCCCCAACAGGCAAACAGCGCCGAGAGGCTTTCATCCAGCCCCTCAGCTGTTTCGGGCCCAGCCTCTGCAGAACCAGACTGAACGCCAGAGGCTGCGAAAACCTCGCTAAAGGAAATGTGTTACTACTTTATTACCGCATGTCGTCTGGATTGATTTAAAAGCCCAGGCTATTTTTAAACGCTACAGAAAATGGAGAGCGTGGTCGAATTTAACCCTGGCTGGCTGGTTGCAGAGCTGATCTGTGTCACAAAACTCAATGCAGAGTAGGTGACAAGAAGAAAAAAAGCCCCTTTCCTGAGATTTTGGTAGAGGGAGCAGCCCCTGACACTGCCCGCTGCGACGGGGCAGGGCTGCTTCTCTCCAGGTTTGTCTTTTAAAGCAAAAGGGGGTGGGCTGCCACACACGTGAGCTTCAACGTGGTTGAAATAACAGGTTTAATCTCCTTGTGTGGTGCAGAACAAGCAAACCATTTAGTAACTTACACTGAGAAGCTATGAAAACGAAGACTGACTACTCTCGTTTATGTGGTGAACAGTACAAAAAAGTGATGTTGGAGCAAGGGAAACAACAGTTGTCTACTCCTGTTCCTAACAGGGCTGGAAGGTACACAAATAACCTCTGCAGTTCAGTCCTCACTTCTTTGCATCTTGATATAAACGTGAAGTTGTTAGTTGCTACAAAATCAGGATGTTCATTACAGTGGTCGATCAATGTTTCGCTCCTGAATGACTTAGAAAATAAATGGTTTCTTCCCAAGCTGCAAACGTGAAACAGAGACCCTGGTCCTTCCTCTCCAGTGCTGGAAAAAGGAGCCATTCGGCCCAGCGGCGGTCGTGGCCCGGGAGGCTCAGCCCCGCAGCGCCCCCCTGCAGACTCACCGCCCCCCCGGCCGGGGACGGAGCACGTTTGCTTTAGCTCAGTCCAATGTTTGCTCCCGACTCCTGCCTACCCTGCATTCGTAGCAGGAGCAATCTTGCTAAATATTCGATGCTCTGGAGAGACGCTAGATTTTTTTTCCCCTCGGTTTCAGAAGATGGCCGGGTTCCCGGGTTGCAAAGCACTTCAGCAAATAATTACTTGGCTTTCCCCTAACGATTCTGTGCGTATGCTTGTGCCAGGATAGAGACGACCCATTTCAGGGGACAGCCCTGTCGTGCACCGGAGCTGGGCGAGCGCTGAAAACATTTCTCTCGCTTTGTCATTCCACTTTTAAAACAAGAGCCGAGCTGTGTGTCCCTGCCCCTTTCAAGCTTGTGCTCCTTTTGCAGAGACAGCACAAAGAATAAATCACTGGCAAGAGTGTTTGCTTGAAACAAAGAACTGTAAGTGAATAACAGGAAACATATACAATATTCAGCTTGAAAGTCTGTGTATTTTGAGAATTATATTCATCCAACTGGAAGACAGGAACACACGTGATCAACTTCTGCTCATCTAAACTAAACAGAGTTTTACTCTCTGCTTAAGTAATGTGGTTATTTCAAAAGAACTCCTAAAATAAAAAAAAAAAAAGAAACAGCTTTTTCCATCTGAAACACCCATGAAAAAAAAAAAAATTCACTTGCACATAGATGAGAATAGCTTATTAACTGCTCCTGGGTTATTTCAGGACAGGAAAGGAAGCTAACCGCCTCGTGGGCCAGCCCCCGATGCAGCTCATCAAAATCTCCTGACATTTCCCTGCCTCCTCCGTGACAGAGGGGGCCGGGGCCCCGGCGGGGGCCCAGCCCCCGCCGCGGGTCCTCGCAGCTGGTGAAAGCTGCCCCAGCTCAGCCCTTGGCCTCGCTGGGAAAAGCCTACCCTCGGCTCGAGGATGGCTCAAAAGAAACCGCACCTCTTAATGACTTGCTGAAGTGCTTTGCTGAATCAGGGCCTCCCGGGTGCCAAACCCTGATGGTTGGCAGCGTCCCCAAAGCTCCTGCGTGCCCCGGCTCTGGCTCCAGCTCCGCCCCGCAAGCCCCTGCACCAGCCTCCCCCCTCCCCGCCGCCCACACCAGTCCACGGGCACACACACGGGCACAGCACGGAGGGAAGCGTGGGGAGGTGGGTAAATACTTAGCAGAAAGCAACCTACAGAAGAGCTTGATTGGCCCGTCTGACCGGGAAGCAGAAAGAATAGAGAGAAAAATGTTAGTAGTGGTCAGGAAAGCAAAATTTTGTTATTTCACTGACCCCCCTCTGACCCAGAAGGTTCCTGCCCTGCGAAACACTCCTTTCTGCAGTCACCCTATCAAGACAAGCTGCTTTCACTCTCCTTCCCTCTCCTAACCCAACGAAGAATGAAATATCCACCCCACCTGGCCTGGGACCTGCCCGTAACCTCAGCTCTGTTGCACCTTCTGTGCCTTTTTTTTTTTTTTGAATACACCCTGGGACCCTCTAGTTCCATGATGCTTTTCGCTTTCAGAAGAAACTTGAAAGGCTGGAATACTTAAATTAGTTTTCCAAAAAAAAAGAGCAATTAATCAGAGCTCCTCCGTTTCTCTTTCTGGACTCATATTGTGCTCTTAAGATTTCTCGGGGGGTAGCAGCGCGATACCAATTAGCATTTACTCGCCTGGCATATGTCAGAGAGTGCATAAAAAGACGATTAAAGACGGTCAGTACATTTTTCTTCCTTCCAAAAAGTTTGCCATTTTTTTTGCACAGATATTTCTTCCTCAAGTTCTCAGAAGAAATCAAAACCATGAAGCTTTGTGTTTCTTTCAAAACCATATTTTGTTTGCTTAAAGCCAAAAGTGATCATGTTTGAAAAATATTTTTGGCAATAGCTTTAGTTTCACTGAAGAAGTCATTTCTTCCAGACCAAACCAAACCCGTTCAGTTGATAAATGCTCTTTCCTTTTATAAACCCCTTGAAGCATAATACCGATACGAGGTAATGGGTATTATTTAGGTAATTAAGAGGAACAAAGTCCCCCCTCGGTACCCTGGCCGCTCTAGCCGAGGTGCCCTGACCTCGCCTTACTTTGTCGGCAATCCGCAGCACGCCGGGGAGACGCGCGGGCGCTTTACCTGCGAGCCCTGAGTTGAACACCACGGTGGGAGAGGCTGTCCCGGGCAGGGGGGATTTTGCACTACGAAATGAAGGAAAAACGAGGCGTTACCATGAACATTGATCGAAATAGCCCAAGCACACGCAGATAAAGTCCCAACGCCCACCTCGTCCCCCACTACCCATCTCCTCTCCACCACTGTACTGGCCCTAGCATTCGTTGGACCCTTCACCAAAACACCTCAGTGCATGAACGCAGCAGGAACTACCCGAATGCAAGATGCTGGTATTTTTTTCTGTCAACTGAAGGGCGCAGAAATGAAGCAGACAAACATGGGAGAGCAAGAGTGCAAACACAGCTGGGGGACCTCAGCGTCCTCGGCTGCTGCGAGGTGCCGTGACCTGCAGGCTCATTACAACTGAAGGCGGTTTTGTCAGTGTAAGGCCGCTGTGACTGTCCCCAGCACAACAAACTGCACCTCCGGCTCCGGGCCAGCCCACCTCTTGGGGACAAAGTGCTTCTTACCTGCCTCAGACGCTGCTGCTAAGGCGGGTAATGGTGGTGGAGGTGGTGGCAACGGCACTGAAGATGCAGCTCCAGTGACTGGTGCGACACATGTGCCAGCCACAGCCTCTGACCCTGCCGGCACCATCCCAGAGGCCAGAGCCACAGGAAGGATAGAGATGTCACCGTCACCTTTCTTCTGGATCTTAATGGTTCCCTGCTTCTCCAGTTCATGGATCTTTTTCTCCAGCGTTGACTGTCGCTGGATGGCTTCTTCTTTTTCTTTCACCATTTTTCTCAAGGTGTGAACCTGGGTATTTGCATCTTTGTAGATTTCCTGAGAATTCCGCAGAGACAAAGAATTTGCGCTTGTACTCAGAAAACAGAATCCCGAAACCAGAAACTGAACAGCCTGAGATGGGACGGTCACTGCACCAGGCGCTACCTTACAAGGAGCTTTGATGCAAACCATACGCCTTTGCTGGTGAGGAAGAACTCATTTTGTGTTCTTCCCACAGGAGCAGCAATGCTGCGCACAGCAGAGTCCTGGGAGAAGTCTCACCTGTGGACACCAGCACCTGGGGGTGCAGAATTTCTCACCATCACTTTTTCATGGTGTCTCCCGTTTCTTATGCTAGTATCAAACATACAGTGTAGGTATGCTACCTCGATTTTGACTTTAACAGAGAGTATCCCATGCCTTGCTGGGTGCTCTACCTATGAGCAGGAGTTGGCCCGTAAAGGGAAGCAGGAACAGAGCTCCTGATGGAGGGGAGGTTGTACCTGCAAGTACCCAGGGCAGACCTTCCAAAGGAACCCTAGAAGCACCACGCTTTGGGATGACATTTAGGCTGAAGTTAGTTCACATTACACTAGTAACTTTTGTTACTAAGTTTGTACACCAGGAATTAACGAGTCTGGACTGGGCACAGAAAGCTGGCTGCACATGACAGCACAGACACAGGGCACTTGCTCCCGTCCTGCTGCTGTGCAGCCCAAGGCCGAAAGGCTTCGGGTCCAGCTCCAATGCCCCTCCGCAGCCAACCATACCTGCAAAACTCCAAACAGAGATGCTACAGACCCGAGTGGTGAGATGTACCTGTCTCGTTCACCGATTTGCTGGCACGTTCAAAGAGTGTTATGGCCATCTTTGAGTGCACACACTAGTACTTCTACCTGAAATCTGCCCTAGGTTCAAAATTAGGGAGCTAACAGAAGCCACTTGGCCCATTAAAGGAGCCATTACCTCCCAAACACAAAGTGCACAGGAGACCGCTACCCTGAAACGTGGCCCCCAGCCAGAGCGTTCCCGTCGCACCTACCCGAATCACATCCAGTTCTTTGTTTCTTTGCATAAGCTGTTTTTCCAGTTCCACAATCTTTGCCATGGCTTCGTTCTCCGTATCTTGGAGTTTTTCAGATAACTAGCATTCAAAAGAGAAATAGATTGTATCAGTGGGTAACAGTACTTTTCCCAAGCAAAACGTCAGGAACGCTTGCTGAAGTGGTGGTACGTCGTAAATTGTTGATACCCCACCAAAGCCTGAAGTCTGTTTTTGGAAAGAGAGAGGGTTCCTTCAGGGGGCACCAAACGCCCCAGTGAAGGTTCCTCTGATGATGAATGTTATCCTTCACTATGACCTGCAGGTGACCTGGCCAGACTGGCGCTATGGACCTGGCCAGGTAAGAGAGCCTACTCTGCAATGAAGCACTTAAAATGCAATTCTTTTCATACACACGAAGCCTGATCTGAAACCCCAAAACCCCACAAAATACCACAGTGGCACTGGTGCAAAACCACCAGATGCTGAGATGGTGGAACCTATAAAGATCACCTCTCACAATGAGGCTAATTTGATTAGTAATGAATGAAATGGTTTATTCCCCCCCCTCACCATGGTCTTTTGATTTATTTTTATTTTTTGCCAGCCCCACAAACCCGGGATCTGAAAGCCCATCTGGTCTCACTGGCTTTTTCCATCACCACCAACCACGCCAGGCGAGGCTGCAGAGGTGGTGAGGTGGCACCCATTGCTGTGGTTTTGAGATAAAACTTCTGCAATTCTATTATTAGTATTTCTGTCAACATATGACAGAAAACGATGTCCACAGCCCTGGGATGAGTCTAGTTTATGTAACAAGAGATCAGAAGCAAGCCCTTAAAAATCAGCCACCAGAGTAAACCGTGAAGGTTCTGACCAGCTAAAGGGAGTAGATCTACGAAGCAAATGGTGCCATTTCTACTGCATCACTTCCCTCTAGCAGAAGAGCACTTCAGGGGCGCAAATACTGCGCAGCAAGTTGTTTTAACAACTATTTATTCTAAGTGATGGCCATACAGCAACAGTAACAGAATGACCCTTTTACGATTTTTTTAAAGTATGGAAAACATTTTAAATTTAGAACAGCCAAGCCCTGTTTTTCTGGGCTAGAGTACCTGACAGCAAGAAGGGACACGGGACAGAAAAGCCGTGAGCAAACAGCAAATATCTGCACAGCGCTGTTTTTCAGTCCCTTACCTCTCACACCCAATAAGGTGTTTCACGACACAGACCGGAGGGTTATCTGCTCTATTTACCAGTACTGCATTGCTGAGGAATTTGCAATTCCTACGTAAATCAGCTTTCGCAGCTCTTCGGACAACTCTTTGCAGAGGCTCCGTGCACCCAAGTGACCTGGAACTGAAGCCGAAGCGCCCAAAGCTGCCAAACTGCCGTGCCCGGGCCGGGGGGGTGCGACCCTCTGCTCAGCTGGGCCCCCCGCACGGGGGTCACCCCCTCCTGTGGCTTTTGGGGGATAAAGGGGCTGATGCTACGGAGGTGGGAGCGCTGCGGCCGTGGCCGTATCAGTGCTGAGACGGGCAGGCCCCGCATTAGCAAGGCAATGCTACTCCTTTGTAAGAAGCTGGGGGTTGTGTCACACAGGAGGGTAAATAAAATCACAGAAGATGACATTTTCTCATCAGGTCAATAAACAGCTTACAAATTAAATCTTTGTAGCAGGTGGAGCACCTGTTAACTAAAACATGCAGAATATAAGCTTCAAAATACAGCATGAAAAGCACCCGGGAAGTTTACCTGCCTGAGATCTCCCCAATTCCTTCATTTGCTAAATACCTGACTATTCCCAACACAGAAGCACAGTAATCCTAGGGCTTTTCCTAAGTGAACCTCACCCCAAAGGTCATAGCCCCGCTGCGCCTGTGCTTCCACCTCCCAAAGGGGCAGCAGCGAAGCCCACGGGCAGAGCAGGCTCTGAACTACTCAGAGACAAAGGTGGCAAAGTTTGGTACTAACATGGGAAATGTTTTCTTCCAGTTCTTCAACTCTTTCCAAGGCTGCATTCTTGGTCTCAGCATCCTCCAGTAAAGCTCCCACATCAAAAACGTTATCCAGGTAGGCTTGAATTTGCACCTGCAGTTTGTCACTCTCCGTGTGCTTCAGTTTCTGGAAATCCAAAAAGACAAGGGTGTCACTCAGCACTGGCAGCCCTTCGCAGCAAGAGGGCCGCAGGCAGCAGACGGGGCTCAGGCCGCTTCCACCCCCCAGGAAAACACTTTGCATTCTGGGGTCATAAGTGATAAACGGTCATTTTTGAAGACCAAACATAGAATCATAGAATCATGGAATGTTTTGGGTGGGAAGGGACCCCCAGAGGTCACCCAGCCCAACCCCCCTGCAGGAGCAGGGACACCTTGAACCACAGCAGGTTGCTCACAGCCCCGGCCAACCTGGCCTGGAATGTTCCCAGGGATGGGGCCTCCACCCCCTCTCTGGGCAACCCCTGCCAGGGTTTCACCAACCTCATTGTAAAGAATTTCTTCCTTATATCTAGTCTAAACCTACCCTGGTTTAGTTTAAAACCATTACCCCTTGTCTTGTCACAGCTGGCCCTACTAAAAAGATTGTCCCCATCTTTCCTATGGGCCCCCTTTAGGTACTGAAAGGCCGCAATCAGGTCTCCCCGCAGCCTTCTCTTCTCCAGGCTGAACAACCCCAACTCCCCCAGCCAGAGCTTTCAAATAAAGCTAAGCAGCATCTTATCTTCTGGTACTACAGAGGATACTACTGCCTTCCTCCATGCTTGCTGCTGGATTGTGGCAAGCTTTGAATCCACCACCCAGCCCCGGGATGGTGCGAGGCCAGCAAGGCAGCCGGCCACTGGGCCTGACCCTTCTGCTGCCCGCGGTGGCCAGTGAGGCCATCACTCGTGTTTGGGTTCAAAGCAGCCGCATGGCCCGGAGCAAATCCTCCGATTGCTCTCGCTGACCTCACACTGGGTTTGCTGGGTTCAAAACGAGCTGGCTTGATCTCCAAAGAGAGCATCAGAGCAGGCTTTGAGCCGCTCTGCCCACTCCCCATGGACTGCAGGGTTTGTGCCACCCGGGGACCCGACCCTAAGCAGACCCATGCTCGGTATCGTCACGTGTAAGTACTTCCTGCAGACAGCAAAAAACCTCTCTCCTGGTTACTGCTGAGCAGAAGTCAGCAGGGACAAATCAATCCCTCGTCAACACAAGCACTGTTCTCATGTCTGCACTCCCAAGGGCAGGCAGAGAGAGAAAAGTACAAAAGGGGAAATATAAAAGCAGCTTTCTTCTGAAAGCGAGCATTTCCCATGGGATGCCAGAAAACGCCCGGCTGCCAGGAGAAAACCCAAAAAGAGGTTTTTTTCACACGGAGATGGAGGGGGCCCTGGCAGCACCTGAGCCAGGGCCGACACGAGGTCTGCAGCCCCACTCCCAAGGGCAGGCAGAGAGAGAAAAGTACAAAAGGGGAAATATAAAAGCAGCTTTCTTCTGAAAGCGAGCATTTCCCATGGGATGCCAGAAAACGCCCGGCTGCCAGGAGAAAACCCAAAAAGAGGTTTTTTTCACACGGAGATGGAGGGGGCCCTGGCAGCACCTGAGCCGGGGCCGACACGAGGTCTGCAGCCCGCGCCTGGCGGGCAGGGACGTGGCGGGGCGAGGACGACTGCGGTTCATCCTCCCTTTGTTATAAGGCGAAGCTACAAATTTAGCTCCCGCTCTGTAATTGCAGTTAGTTGCAGTTGATTTTTCTTCTGCAGGGGTGGCTCCAGGCCACAGCCCCCAGTCACAGCGGCCAAGGCTCTGCATTTTTAGCAGACTATGGGAGAGTGCTGCTCTGTCCTCCCGAAAGCTCTCGGGTAAGGGGGCTTCAGGAGGTTCAAGGCTGGGCTGGGCTGCGGCAGCGCTGGGGGATGTGGTGTGGTCCCAGCCCGCAGCCCCACGCGGGGTCAGCCCTGCCAGGAGGGCAGATCCACACTGCGAAGCACTGGAGACTCAGGTCATAAAATCATAGAATCATAGAATCGTCTAGGTTGGAAAAGACCTTTAAGATCATCAAGTCCAACCTTTAACCTAACCCTGCCATCCCACCACTAAACCCTGGCCCTCAGCACCTCATCTCTCCTTCTTTTAAATCCCCCCAGGGATGGGGACTCGACCCCTTCCCTGGGCAGCCCATTCCAGAGCCTGACAACCCTTTCGGTGAAGAAATTTTTCCTAATGTCCAACCTAAACCTGCCCTGGCGCAACTTCAGACCATACTCACATCCAAATACTCATCCAGGCCGAGCTTCGTAAATTCATACTGCAGGTGGACTCTGAAGTTCATGTCCTCCACCGAGTGGACAACGATGTTGATGAACTGCATGCAAGCCACCTGCAAGGAAAAGCCGCACGTGAGAGGTGGCAACGGCACAGCCCCGGCTGCCCCCCAAAACCCCAGGCACAGGGTCGGAGCGGGCTCTCCCGGGGCCCCACGGATCAGACACAGCAAATGACTGCATTTCCCTGCTATTACTACGAGGGGAAACTGTGATCCGCTCTTCTACAGCTTTTTTCCAAGCCGGTGCTGGATTCAGGCTTACGGGGCGTTCATCTGCTGTGATAAAGGCAAACACGGGTTCCAGAAATTAAGTCATGTCTGGAGAGTCTACCTTTACTGCGTGCCGGTGAACAGAAACGCTTTCCATGCCAGCTTGCACCGCCAGACATCATACAAGCACCCAAGCTCTTAAGAAAACAATGCTGTTTCTGAAAGGGCCCGTAAAAGTGAGATTAATTTTGCAACTGGAACCCCTAGCTTAGGAAACGGGGCTTTCACAACAGGCGCCTTGTTGTTTGCAGAGAGCCAATTTCCAAAGCTGTGGTTTGGTAACTGAACAAGGGACCAGATCATAGGAGTTGGCATCCAAACACGTCCCAGCCCAGCGAAGGAAGGGAAAGGCTCTCGAGCGAAGCGGGTCGCGAGCGGTATGAGCGGCGGGGGAACCCCCTGCAGAGCGGCAGGGATCAAGATACAAACCCCAAATGGTTTGCCCTTCCCTTGAATGTAAGGCACGGCCAAATCCTGCTCTGCACAAGGAACCCCAGCCCTCTTTCAGCTCACAGATGATGTCTGTGGCCCTCTGAGCTGCTTTTAGAGAGGGTTTGCCTCGTCCTTGCTGGGCTTCTCAAGGGCACAACCCCATCCCGCTAGCAACCCTGCAGCAGGGGTAACACCGACCTTCTCGTCATAGCTGGGAAATATCTCAGTAGTTCTAGAACGAATCTGAGAGAAGATAAAATCAAAGCAACCTGATTTTACCTGCAGGACAAGCCTTCGGGAGACCCCACGTTTCTGGGTCCTTTTGTGAAGGCCTCTCGCCAGCTTGCTGCAGGAAACTGGCCAATGCTCTGTGATCTGGTCTAGGGCCCAGAGGATAAACTGATGAGCAGGCATCTGCTGCATGGTGGCCTGTGACTACAGGTCCATCCAGGATGCCCTGGGATGCCCCTTCCAGCTGCTGAGATGCCACAAAAACCTTCCCGGATAAACTGCCTGGTGCTGGCCAGCTTTGGAGGAGCCAGGGACACAACAAAGGTCAGTAAAAACCTTCCAGTTCCATCTTCCCATGTAGACCCTGGCCAGCTTTAACCACTCTGTTTCCAAAATGACTTTAACCCTAGACAACGCAAAGCTGTGAGACCGCTAACCGGGATAACCCCAAGGAAGAGAGGAAGGAAGATGGTCTGAAGATTCACCCAGGAGCTCCTGTGATGCCCACCTCTTGGTGTGTACCCATCTCTTTCTTACACAAACGACCCGATCCAGGCAGTTGGAACCCTAGCTTCAGGTTTCGAGTTTTTGCAGGACCCTTTCCAGTTCCTGTGGAGAACCGTGGTTCCTCCTAGTGCTGGTACCAGCCTTCGCCAGCGGAACCCTGCTGTCCTACCCAATCACCCACAGCCAAATAGCTTTATTTCCAAAGCGCTTTTGTTAAACTTGCTTTGGCTCTCTCAACGTTAGGGACAAATTCTCATTTCCTTTCTCAGATCCTTACATACACAACTAAGGAATTTATCAAGTCAAAGAAAACTAATCTAAGAAAGTTGCTTTTAAAATGAAGTGAGTCAATGTCAACAACAGGAACCTTCTCTAAAATACTTTTGCCTTTTTGTTGCTCTTTCCTCCCTGTCGATCCATGCAGTTAACCACGGCCCCTTCCAGCCCCAGCTTCCCAGACAGCTCTCCATTTAGGGCAACGCGAAAGCCGGGTCCTGCAGGAATAGCTCTTTGTTTATGTTCAGTCGTTGCAACTCCTTGAATTACTCGAGCTTTAACATTACGTCCTGGAGCCTGGGCTCCGGCGCCCGTTTTATCCCGTCCTGCGGAAAGGAGCAATGTCTGCCCTGGGCACCCCCCGGCGCAGCCCGCGGGCCGGTACCGCAGCGAGCCGGAGGGCAGGGGCCCACGGGGCTCCCCGCTCGCCCCCCAAAACTCACAGCAGCACGCGGAGCTCGTTAGGGCCAGGCAGTGACACGAAACGAGCGGCTCTGCCAAATCTTTTGTCCTGAGCTCTCTCTTCTAGCTTTAGGCTTGTCAGATGGTCAAGCCTGTAGTTGTGGAAGCAGCCCAAAGGTGCAGATTTTATTAGTATTTGGGCAAGTCCTGAAAAAAATGTATTTATCCTTTTTCAAGCAAATTCCACCACTACCTTCAACCTATGGCCTGAGAGAAACTGGGAATTTTCTTACAGGCTGTCCAGATGGATGCTGAATATCCACAGCTCACCAGGCTCATACGGACACACACTCACATGCATATTCCCTATTATACCCTTACAATACACCATTTAATATCTTAAATAAAGATGAGGGATGATTTTTTTTTTTTTTTAAACATGTTTTAAACGAATCCCACAGCTCACAGCAAGCAGGCTGCTGCCACCGGCTCGCTTCCAGGCTGCACTAAGCCGTGCTCCTCTCCCGCCCCCCAAATATGATTACCCCTCCCTGTGAGCATGGGACAAACGACTGAGAGTCGGGCGTTGAGGACGGACAAATCTTTCTGTTAAATTACAGACTAAACTGTATGTACAGCTGAGAATACTTAATGTATACTGTGCCTACCAACATGGCCTTACTGGGACTGCAGTAACAAGGAGCAAACCCAACTGTAACATGTCAGAGTGGCTGAGAGCAGCTTGCTAACGTGAGTACAATTGCAAGGATCACTGTAACTTCTTTTTTATTTTGAAATACAAGGAAGAGGCCATCCTAGCTTGTTCACATCACCTCCTTTTTATTCTGCTGTGCCCTCGAGGGTGCGAGCCTGCCCTGGCCATCAGGGCTGCAAGCCACTGGCGCTGGAGTGTTCAAAGCCTGTAGGAACAGCCCACTGGCTGATTTAACACCTAATTCCTGGCAGAAAGGGGTCTTTAACACAACGCTCAGCACTAAAACAGTATAAAGTGTCACAGATGCTGAACAGAGGCCTCAGCAGACGGTGGGAAGGTGGGAGGGTGGGAAGCCCTCCTCTGCTCTCTCCCCAAAACAGGGTCATGCCAGATCCAAGGCACGGAGCATGAGCAGTGCAAGGGAGACTGCACTGACCACGCCAGCACCACTTGCTTTCCAATTAAAAACAGGACTTAAACTTCTGACACGAGCACTCACTTGCCACAGACTTTAAAGAAATGGATGCAGAAGTATTTTTGACATCGGATACATAACCAGCTAGCTCATCCTGACTGTCAGCACCTCTGCCTTTCACGTGATGCCAACATGCACGCTGGTGCTGGTGCCTGTGGGTGCCAGCCAGAGCTTCCTCTCTCGCCGTCCCCCCCGGTGCTCCAGGGGAAGTGGATTTGGTGAATAATCATGCATATGCACACTGAGGAACCAAAAGTGCTGCAAACTACAGCTATATTTATCAGCAGATAAGGACAGACAGCAGCTGCAGCCAGTCTCTCCCACACTTCCCTGTCTGTGACTCTCGGGATGCTGGCAGACGGACAGAACACCATCTTGATATTGCAGAAGCTGCTGCTTTGCCGCAGCGAAATAGCACAAACGACCAAAAGGCCACTTTCCTCTTACCTTTACTGTGGTACAAGGCATTTCTTGAAGATAACCAAATTGAACCGAAGCTAAAAACGAAACGTACGTTATAGGTAGTTTGGAATATTTAAAAAAAAAAAAAAAAAATTGTATCGTGGTAATGTTGGGCCAAGGATCAAACGGCACGTACATCTCTGCCTACGACGGCAGGACCAGACACAGAAAACGCTGAAGCTGAAGGCTGCTGCTGGCGAACAGCACTCACCATGAAGTCGATATTGTTGTCTTCGTTTCGGAAGTGCTCCATCAGCTTCTCAAAGCGCTGCTTCTCTCCACACACCTACAAAAGAATCACCGCGTGTCTGTTGAACTACGGCCGGCGAGGCAGAGGATGAACAACATTTAAAAAGCAGCTCAAGTGCTTCCTCAAAACCTCTCCGTCCAGGTTTCCTCTCTTGTTAAAAATATTCTTCTTCGTGACAAATTCGGAGGAGGAATCAGAGGTGGACACCTGCGCTGCGAGTCTGTAAGGGGTCAGGTACAATTATAACAACTCTTTGTACCTTTTTTCCCCCTAAAAATGTAATCATACCCACGGACGGTCCAAATGTAAGCAACAGAGTTGCACCAGGCTATGCCACAGGAGGCCTCGGCCTCTTCCACAGCGCAGAACTGGCTTTCCACTGTATGATATAATGTGATTGGGAAGAAGAACAAATTACAGGGAGGAAAAAAACGAAAATTATCACCAGCTAAAGGAGGAGTGAAACGCATCAGCGTAACGATCAGCTGGTTGGAACTGCAGAGCCGTAATACAGGGGTGTTGGCAGGAAACACAAGCAACTGGAGGGAGAAATAAGGTCTGAGATACAGCACTTCTCAGGATACTGTTTAAATCTTCTAACTTCCCCATAGCTTCTCTGGCTCAGCCCTGCTTTTCTCAGAACACACATGATCTAGAGTAATCCACACCAAAATCCCAAAGTATTAAGTCAGTTGGAAAGTGAAAGGGAGCAGAGGTGAGCACCAGGAGGAGGTGCACCCATTTCCCCGTCCTCCCTGCTTAGCAACTGCAGCTCCTCCCTCCCGGGTGCATCCTTTGGGGTATTTTTTCTACCCCCGCGTGAATACACTGACCACCTCAGCCAGCTCCTGCCCCGCACACGGCCGTCCCGGCGAGCCCTGCTGTCCCAGCACGCTCAGACGGGAGGTGATGAGGGCACTGCAAAGGGTCCCACGCGTTCCCAAATCCCCCAGGAGCTTCCTCATACCCTGCACCATGAGCTGACTTTCTCGCTTGCTGGGTTTTTGGCGTCAGACCGAGCAGTGAATGCAAGAAGAGCACAGGCAGGCTCTTCTGAGCAAAGCTGCAAGTGCCTGGGTAGGCACATCCATGCACAAACAGTGTCAAATGCTGTTCCTCGGACGCTGGCTGTTCGCAGAGGCATGGGAGAAGCTCGGAAAGAAGCTGGTTTGCTCTTAAATGTCCTGAAAAGCAGAGTCCCGTCATCTGGAGGCAGCCCTTCCCTTCTGCCAAGGAACAAAACCCTCGGTGAGCCCAACAGGCTCCTTCCTTCTTGAACCAGATTTCACCCCAATGTCCCGAGAGCGCTGGGTGCTACTGATCAGGAGCAGGGAGGACAGCGGTGGGACCTCCAACCCGGGCTCTCCGCTTAGGGACCACCAGCTTCCAAGCAGCTCCCTCCTCCGAGGCATCAGCTGCTGTTTGAAGAGGCATGCTCATGGCACAGTACTGATGTGAAATTAGCCGACGAACGGTAATTAAGGATTGGCAGGAGCACTTCTTCTTTAGAAACTAACCTCTAGGGCAGGGGCCAGTTTTTTGTATGTATTTCTACACTGGCCTCTCCCACAAGGAGACCAAATCCCCAGTTGAGGTTTCAAGATACTCCCAAAAAGCAAGTTCTTTACAAAGTATGTGTTATTATTACTATCCCCGTATCAGCTTCCTCTTTCTAACTGTGTCTATCTTACAACAGGTACCTACAAACTACTTAGAGCAGGTACCTACAAACTACACAACAGCTGGACTTGATGATCTTCAAGATGTTTTCCAACCTAAACAACTCTATGATTCTACACAAAGATTAAGGCACCGAGCAGACCTCACTGGAGTCCCACAGAGCTTAAGCGAGACCTCAACTGAGCTGATCACCAGATCCGCAAAGCACAGCGAGTAGTGGCCTGCTGGGTGACTTCTCGCCACGCTTTCCACGGTCTGTTGTGACTGAATAAAACATACACTTGTGGTGTATGTGATCCATCTGCTGTCGTTCCTAAGCAAAATTGCCACAACTGGGCTATTACGCAGCTATTTGTGGTCAGTACCTGACGTCAATGGGACTTCTGCCACTGAGAGGACAGGGACGCTGGTTACGGTGAATTATTTGATAGCGTTGCCACCAATATTCATGGCCACAATCCCACAAGTTGCAAGGCTCAGCAACCCCCCCATGCACCCTCCCAGTAGGCAGGGTGCTGGACTCCACACAAACGCTTGCTAAAGTTGTATTTAAACATTTCCAGCTGAACCTCAAAGACTCACCAGGTAGAATAAACACGCTTAGACAACAAAGCACGCACCCTCATGAAAACCAGATTACACTTGTTGGTCAAGCAAATGATCATGGTCTTAAACCCAAAGGACTCGGCTCTCTCTACAGCCTATGCCATGGAAGTGGTTTTGAAGCATTAAATGCCGTTACATGGGGGGTTCCACCAGGCCCATAAAACACACATTAAGGTCTGAGACAGTAAAACAGAGCCGAGACAGAGCCACTCTTGGATGGAGCAAGACTCCTTGGTATTGCCTGGCCTGCAGTTGTGCAAGGGGCATGAGCTGTCTCTGCTTAGCAGAGATGGGGGCCCTGGGACACAGAAAGGACTGGTGAGTTTGGAGAGCCACTGCCATTCAGCTTCAGGCTGTAAATCTTCAGTCTAATCTTGGTCTTTTCTTCAGGAGTAATCCTCGTAAAGCCTCCCTACAGCGTCAGGAATCGCCTTGCTGGGAGATCAAAGCCCAGACACCGCATATATGTTGCTGATGGCTAGAGCAGCTCCAACGAAAACGGAGGGCGAGTGAGCGAGCTCCGGCCCTGACCACCCAGAGCGTTTGCTTTGCAGCGGGTGGCTCAAGAGCTGGCGTCACTGGCGCAGAGCCTTAGGCTCTGCAAAGCCACCAAATGGCCAAGCTCAAATCCAAACCGGCCAGGAGCACCCTTGGGAAGCAGGGAGATCACCCTGAGCATTTTGGTGCGGCCACCCTGGTTTAACAGGCGTGCATTTAGAAGTGAGAGGTGGGATGAGCGCACTCCAGTGGGGACCAGAGCATCTCTGCACCAGACAACAGCACCAGCGCCCGCAGGCATCCTGTCCGGCTGCCCCGCGCCCCGCGTGCAGGACCAGCAATCGCTCTGTCGTGAAGAAGCTCAGGTTGGTTGAGCATGCAGCAACGTGACCTACTCCGGGCACTCACCACGAATGCCCTCCCGAGCGCTTTCTTCCCGAGGGCCCCCCGAAGCAGCCCTGGCAGGGTGCAGCTCTGCCGCGGCGCACACCCCTCCCGGGACGCACACGCTTCCATGCAGGAGCAGCACGCCCTTCAGGAGGAAAAGAGACGGAAAGCTGCAAAAGGAAGAGCCAAAGAGAAAACTCACAATCTGGCCGAGTTTCAGGAGCCTACTGGCACTGTAAGGATCAAAGGCAGCAGCTGCCCGCTGATATAATTTGATTTTGGAGGCCTACGCTGGGGCTGATCCAACTCCCGCTCAAAGCAGACCCAAGGAACCCTCTCCTTGACTTGCACCACAGCCTGCTTAGAGGCACTCATCCCTCCGTTATTATCCCAAGCCATTTTTTTCCTACTATAGTACATGGGATGGTATTTCAGTTCAACCAACTGCAAATTCTTCCAGCGCTCTCCGTACTCTCCCCTCCCCACAGCACAGAGCCAACATAACAAAGGGGACAAGTAGGTTCATCTCAACGCTGAGCTCTAAGAGATCACAGCTCTCTTGCACCGGCTTGGGAAAAAACGGAGCCGATTCAGACAAAATCATGTCGTGTGGAATCAAACGTAACAGCGGTGCATAGGATCACTCCACAATAAAAGCCAGAAGGACTGATTCCTGGGAAATCTGATGTTAAACCATTCCACATGGATGAGGGAAGCTGACATAAACAGCTACAAGCCACTTACGGCCGACTAATTAAATTAAGGAACAACCTGAAGTGGTGCAGCCCCGGCAGAGAAGGGCCGATCCTGGGACACAAGCGGCCCTGCTGGCCGGGATGCAGTGGCTGATAGCAAGGGGAAAAGCAACAACAACCTGCGGCTTTCGGTGGCTGCTCGCAGATAATTCACACTATCATCAGATGAGTCAGTGCTGGGAACATGCGCCTTTCAAGAGACAGCGAGCTGACTTTCATGCAATGATATAATTTATCCTGGAAGATTAAAGAGAGTGAAACTGTAGATGAAGCCTGCAGCCTGAAGATTGGCCAAAATCCAAGACGAATGCTGAAATCAAATCCCACCACATAAAACCATATGTTGCCGTTTATATTTGAATAAATTTCCAAGGTCTGTCATTTGAAAGCATGGCTGGGACTAAGGAAGGCTGATCTTTCTTTTATTAGCATTATTCTGTGTAAGAAGCAAGATTAAACGAGTTACCACAGCTATAAAAACCCCTCTGTCTCTACTTAGGCTGTGAAAAAAATTTTGTAGGTTGCCTTACGCCCATGTCATTCTAGAAGAACAATGTGGCTTTATGGAAAACCACCCACGAAGGGTCCTTTCTCCGGAAAGGCTTTGGGTGCTAACGAAGTACACCCGTCACAGATCTGTTACACAGGTACAGTACAACCTTGTAAGGAAGCAAAAGGATCCGTTGTGAAAAATGTAGTGATGATTATATCTATATCCACCGGGCAATGCTCTCGGGCTGTACGGTTCACATCCAGACCACCCAAGAGCAAAGTTCAACTAGGACAACCCTCACGTGGCTGGATTACTGTACGATGCTCCAGAAAGGCATCCCAGGCAGACGGCAAAAGACACCAAGGGTATTTTGGAAAAACTAAAGATGTTTTCATGCGTGACGTCAGGCAGAAAGTGAAAATCCAGGCTCATGGAAGCACATCCATCATCCTCCTACCCCAGGCAGTTATCTAACAACATGAAGCACCACCTCGTTTTGCTGGAGGATGGAGCTTGTTAACTAACCCTCCCCACAAGCGAATATAGCGAATATAGAGACGGCAGCGAACACAGGCGGCATGTCGGGCTTTGGAGCTGCAGCTCGTTGGCGATACAGA